GTATGGGCAGATGGGTGGATGAAGGGAGAGAGAAAGGGGGAGATTCATCTGTTGATTCATTTATTCAACAATTTACAGATTGCCTACCATGTACCAGCCACTGGGATATTTGCTGCCTGTGTGTGTGGCACTTGGCTGCGTCTGCTGCCGTTCTCACAGCACAGGTCGTAGGAGTGAGCATTTTATTAGCTGAGGAGACCTCAAAGGCAGATCTGGACTTGTCTTATCTGTACTTATAACCCTGGAGCCCATCACTGAAGCCCCTTGTAAATATTGGTTGGATAGATGATTGGATGAATCCATCAACCAATCCATTGATCTCATGAAGTCAGCACATGGCTATTGTAGCTGTTTGAACAAAGCAAAGTCTGAAGACAACTCTAGACTATAATTAAGTGCAAGTAATTATAATTAATTGATATGTAAATGATATAATTATTAATTATAATTCAACTAGGAAATTTCAATTACTAAATCACACCCATTTTCCCCCATGGCTTTGCTATCCAAAACTCCCCAGAAATCAAACTTACTTTGGGCCTTTATTAATTTTAGCTTCCATTTCTCTTCAATGGGAAGTAGGCAGGGGAGCTGGGGCCCCCAAGCGCTCCCATGAAGCTGTGGTCATCCTGGAGGCAGGAGCTCCTCCCCTGGGGAAGGCCCGGCTGAGCCTGTTTCCTTCATGAGAGAGACCCAGGGCTCCAAGAACCACAGAGCTTTGTTCACTCCACTCTGAATTATCCGGATGGCAGGTTGGCACAGTTGGATGGCCTGCCACCGAATCCTGGTTCTGTCACCTTATAGCTGTATGACCTTGGGCTACTCATTTGTTGTCCCTCTGTCATTTGTGCCCTCTGGAAAATGAGGATAGTCATGGTTCCTGTCTACTGCTTGTGGGGGTTAAGTGAGTAATGGGTAAAACACTTAGACTAGAGCAGATGTTGATAATAAACGTGAGCTAATAATAGTACCTGCACTTTGGAGCAGAGAGTCCAAATTTGTTTCTTCTAAAATGATCTCACACAAAACCCCAATTACACTGCCAGTTACTGCATATTTGTTGTATGACTGGCGCTACTCTAGGTTCTTTCTCATTTAACCCTCAGAACAATCCTGGGAGTTGGGTGTTATTATGTCTCAACTACTCTGGCAACATGAAGAGTCAGTGAGTTAAACTAACTGACATGAGGTCCCCCAACTAATGAATGATAAAGCCAGGAGTCAAACCCTGTTCTCTCTGACCTGGAAGCCCACACTTTGAAAGGTCATTGTTTTTTCAATCATTAAGTATTTATTGAGCACCAACCAGGGAGTATGGAGGTATACATTTATCTCCCACTTTTACTATTAAAGTTTCACTCTTAAGAATGGAAAGGGAGGGACCGGCCTGGTGGCATAGTGGTTAAGTTGGCATGCTCTGCTTTGGTAGCCCAGGGTTCACAGGTTTGGATCCCGGGCAAGGACCTAGCACCTCTCAACAAGGCATGCTGTGGTGACATCCCATATAAAATAGAGGAAGATTGGCATAGATGTTAGCTCAGCGCCAATCTTCCTCACACACACACACACACACACACACAAAGAATGGAAAGGAAATGCATTACAAGTCACCCACTCTCTCTGTCCCCTGCAGTACAGAGCTGGGTGACTTTGCAGGGCATGGCTGGTTAAGAGACAGGGTCTCTGTGCTTGCCATCAGCATCTCCTCAGACTGTCTCCTCCTTTCTTCAAAAACTTTTTTATTTGGAAAATATACCCCTATCTCTGGATTTGCTGGGAAGTTGACGGTCTTGTATTTTTTCTCCACTGCGTGGTAAACTGCTTGATCATATTTATATGCATACATTCAGCCAACATTTATCAAACGCCAACTATATGTTGGGTCTTTGCCCATTCCTGAGGACATAGTCCCTGCCGTCAGGGACACAGTGAGAATGACCTCGAGATAAAATATACAGTAGTACCCGTAATGCACAGCAATGCTTGATAACACAGCCACATGTGCCAAGTGCCTGAATAAGTTTTGATTCAGTGTAATTGTGGGAGAGGAAGATTCAAGTTAATTTTACAAGGAAAATAACATTTGCTTGAATAGGAAAAGCAGGGGAGAGCATTCGAGGCCCTTGGAACAGAAGTGTGAAAGTATGTTCTGTATGTGGGAATGGGGAGTTTTCTGTATGTGACCAGAGTATGAGATGAAAGGTGAAAGGTGGAAGGTAAACTGAGACTGGATTGCGGATCTTGATGTTATCATGAAGGAGTGTGGACCGTGTCCTGTAGGCCAGAGGGAGCGGAAGGCATCCGTAGTTTTAAAGCAGGGATGTGCCTATAGGACAAGATGTGTGTTTCTGAACTGTAAGTGGTGATGGTGTGGAGGAGGGGCGAGGAAGGAGACAGAAGGCTGCTGCAGTGACCCAAGATGGGGAGGGTAAGGGCCCGAACTAAGTCGAGTGAGGGTGGACACCCAGGAGACATGTGTGAGAGAGTCAGTAAGACTGGGATCCCAGGGAGGCTGTGGCTGAGACACGCTGTAGGAACAGGTGGGTGGGGGCTGGAGAGAACGGGGCTCCACAGAGAAGTGGAGGCGTGCAGCTGGTCCTCCAGGGCTGCTGAAGCACTGTGGGTCATTCGGTGAAGATGCCAAGCAAGCCATTGGGGACCGAGTGGGATATCAAGGCTGGAGATTAGGGGACAGACTTAGCAAATAGATACCCAGTTCAATTTTAATGTCAGATAAACCATGAGTCCCTTTTTAATATAAGTATGTCCTGTGCAGTATCTGGGATAAGGAATCTTTTTCCAGTATATCTCAGATATTGCACAGGACGTACTTATACTAAAACATGATCAGTCATTTATCTGACAATTGAACTGCGTGTCCTATGTCTTGCCTGGTAACTCTACTTGGGAGGTGCGAGGTAGAGTGCTCCATAGCCCCATCCTGCCTCTCTCCTTGCTGCTGGCTAATAAGCGTGCCTTGTGCCCCATGGCGCTTTTATTTCTAAACTCGGGATGTCCCAGTCAACTGGGACAAGTTGGTCACTTAAGCTGAACAGATGTTGACTGAATTGAGTTTAGAGAATCTTCTGACCCTTCTGTGACCTCCTGGGGGCCTTCAGTTGGGGCTGGCGCTGCATGTGCCTTGGTGAATTGCAGGCCACGCCAGGCAAGGGATCCACACCCCAGAGACCACCATCTGCAGTTCAACATCTCCATGACACCATCCATCACCTTGATTGTTCTGGAGAATTCCAACCTTTATTGGAATTGCCCTTTGGTTTGTACGTTTTCTCTTAACATTTGCTGCTGACTTAGTCCTATTTTAAAATTCTGTCCAGTCAAGATGTCCTGTTTTAATCTCTGTGTGACTTTTCTTTAGTCATTTCCTTTCCTTTCAGTTCAGCAGAGTCCACCTCCTGCAGTTTGCTTATCAGACAACATACACCACAGGCCTGGACTTTGTTCTGATGTCTCCTTATATTTAATCCCAATGCTGTTTCTCTGCCAAGCAGATGTGTATTAAAATGTGCATAAGAAAAGAAGCAAGCTGGACTTATCTAGAAATTTCCTCAATTTGCACAAACTCCATTGGTATGATATTTTTTTCTATACAAAACCACAACAAACGTATGTTAATAGCTACTTAGATGGATCAAGACAAATTCATATTTGCTCATTTCTGCCATCATCATTCTGGCCTCATTGCCAGAGACATAAAAACAATGATTGAGTATTCATAAATGCGGAGACATCTGCAGCACGTTGTACCTTTTTTCTTGCTTGTAGGCTCTCTTTGCTCACAGGAATGAGTGACTTGAACAGCTTGTTAAATGGCTTTGTCCAACTTGAAAGAGTTTATTTTTTTCTTGTCAGGTATTATGTCATTTACAAGGTGTTAGAAATGACTCCAATTTCCACTCAGGTCTTTGGGTCTCGTGTGTGTGTTTTAAAACAGCTTATTTTCAATGTGATAAAGGCATCTAAGAAACAAGCTTTCACTCACTAAGCTAAAGATATGGCTACTGGGCTTAAACCATACAAAGAGAAAGGGAGAGTGAATATTGCTTATTACCCACACATATGTGCACATGCATGCATGTGCGTGCACACACACAAGATTTAATTATTTAAAAAGTATTCTGAGCCCTGTTTTCTGGACTAACTATTCTAGGTCTGACTATTAAAGGACGGACATACCTTTAGTTACCTTTTGTGACACAGACATCAACCTCAGGGCCATTTGGTCTGGAAGTTTTAAAAAATAGAACTGTTACAGCAAGAATCTGGTGGGAAGGGGGTCCCATATATCAGGCAGTCCAGTCCAGAAAGGAGGGAAAGAACTGGCCAGACTAGGGTCAAATTCAAAGCCAAGAAAACTCAGGGTCAGCAGGAGTAGGAAGAGAGTGGGTGGCACAGAAAAGCAACTTGCGATACACAATCAAGTAGAGTTTGCTCTGAGTCTTGTTTACAACTTTTGGCTGCATGTGGGCAGCCAGGAAGATCTGGAAGCCTGCAGGCAAATCCTTCCCGAGTTCTAGCTGGTGGCAAAAGTGAGGGACCCAATGGCAGAGCATGAAGATATTGCAATCATTCTTCCAAGAAGAAACGCCCGATACCACTTCTAGACTTCACTATTTTGGCCCTGAAGCAAACGAAGCGTCTAAGTCCGACAGGGCAGATGTAACTGACAGGGATTGTGTTGGGCAACAGCTGTCCAGCAGGTAGGAAACCTGCGTTCCTGTCCTGTAGCAAACCACTTCCTCATTAACTGTTTCAACTGAGTGACACTCAGCCTTCACTTCCAACAAATGATTATCATGAATTTCTAAATGTGTCAGTGTCACTAGGGTGATGTCCCCAAGCCATCTATTTTTTACTAGCGCTTTAGCTGTGTATGTATAGTATTGCCATTATTTACCACACCTGGGCTTGAGGATAGTGAAGTGTATGTCTGCAATGGGGTGCGAGTTCACTCATTAGATTAAATGCCAGCGAACAAGGCCTTTGCTTAACTTTTTATTCATCATGGCACAAGATAGAACTTTAAGAAACACCACTGAAAATATCATCGCCAACATTAAGAGTAGCATGTTTTATAAAAAAATTCTTTTTCTATAATACACATTCCCTTATGAAGTGAAAAAAAATCTCATAAAATACTGAAGCGAATCGCCACCTGCTGGTCAAAAATGGCCTTGCAGTTGAAAAACTTGAAACTACTGAAGTACAGTAGGAGCATTTTACAATACACAAAAAATTACCAAAGAAGACATTTTCTCAGCCTTTGGCATGATGTAAATACAAAGCTGTGGTTTTTTTCCAAATATGATTTACTTTACAAAGCATTGCGTATAATTTGGTTAATACTGATTATGGGGCAAAAGGAAAAACCATGTTCTGTAATTTCAATACTCTATTTAGATTCTTAAACACTTTATAGTTGGATTCCAGTTTGTAGTTTTGAAAAATACATAAAAATTATACATTATAAATATATATTATATACGGTCTATATAAAATTGAATTTGACCTAAAATGGGAAGGACAACTTCTTAATTATTCTTTCTTTGTTAGGCACGGCCTTTCTCTTGTTTGATTAACTGAATCCTTTCTAAACAGATTCTAAAAATATATTCCATTATGTATCAAATTTAATATTTTCCTTAAAACACATTCAATATGAAAAAGCATTCTGTGACATTCAGTGACTTTTGTATCTCACTACTATATAAAAATATGGCTTCTCATATTCTGTTTTATTTTGTTTTGTTAGTGTTTTTCTTAGGCATTGAAGGAAGGGCTGTCCCTAGTTAAAAAGCTATGGCAAAAAGCACAGAAACCTGCTTGTGCATATTCTAGAACATTCTATAGAATCTCATTGCTTAGTATAAGTGAAGTGATTAAAAAAATTGTTCCTCTTGTTTTCTGTGAATATATCATATACGATTATCATACATAATCTGTTACAGAATACACAATAGTCAAAACTGAAGACACATAAATACAATTAAGCTATACCAAAGCAAGAGTTTTATCTTATACAGAGCCAATGTGAGTACTTTTTAGATCAGATACGGCTATCTGTTTATGTTTTTGTTTTTTCCTAAGGCTGGCTATACAATAGAACCTTATAAATGGCAAGGGTACTAGTTAGTGCTCTATAACTTTAAGTGAACTGAGTTTCTCTTGTGTTATTTTTTAAAAGTGTAAAAGAAAAACAATAAGTAAGTGTTCAATTGTCCAACAACTTTTTTCCCTACTGAGTGGAAGAAGGCTGTTTGGGATGTGAGGGCTTGAGCTTGGGTGGGCTCATACCAGTGTTTCCGGGAGGGCATCGGGGTTGTCGGTTGATAAGAGCTCCCAGATTTGCCACCGCTCTCTCTGCCAGTCGAGCCAGTTGGGTTCCCCCAAGGTCTTACTGTTTTGATCACTGGTCGGACTGGAGTAGGCGCTGCTCCGTTTTTGCTGGGCAGCCTGATGCTCTCGCTCGGCTGTTTGGCTTCCCTCTTGCAAAGCTGTTCCGGAGTCTTCTTCTGGTCTCTGAGGCCTCCACAATTGTGACTCTGCAGGCTGGTGGGACGACACTAAAGCTTGCTTCCCTGGACCAGGATAAGGAGGAGGAGGCCTCTTGTCATGCCTCACGCTCTCTTGAGGTCTCTGGTGCAAAGGCTTGGCTCGGCTCTGCGGCCAGGCCACATCCAGCTGGCCCTCGGTGAGGTCTTCGGCACTGCTGAGAGTCAAATACTGCTCCGCCCTTGGCGTGGCCAGCTTGGCTCTCCTGCTGCCACCCTGGATGTGGGATGTGTTGCAGACGCGGGACACAGGAGGGTGGGCCCTGCACTCCACGATGGTGGCTGTGGTCTGAGTCCTCCGAATGACCTGCGTACCACTGTCCAGTTCTGTGGGGCTCCCTTGCCACCGAGGCCAATTTGGGGACAGGTTCCCTTGAGAAAGGGAGCATGGCCCTGGTCGCAGGGAGCTGCTTTCAAAAATGTCTCCATAGGAACCTAGGAGATAGAGAAAAGCGAAAGAAATGGAATTAGCCTGTAGAAACCCTGTTGGGATGTCCTGTTATTTCCTTCCCACTGCCAACTTTGAAAATTGAAAAAGCACAGGATAATCTTAGCTGCCACTGTCTGAAGAAAAAAACTTCTGAGTAAAAGAAATGACAAGCACTTTTTGATTATTGGCACAATTCATATAGTAGCTCCAAGTACAGATGCCTAGACTCTGACAGGTTAGCTGTCAGACTAGATTAAATAGTGTTATTAAATGTGTTGTCACTAATTTCTGTCTCAGGAAATGTCCCCTCTACATGGCTATGAAAACTTTTCTGAACCCAGAAGGTGAAGGAAGCGTTCTCTTGTTTAGCGCAGTTTGCAGTCCAGAGGAGACAAAAATTATAATGTTTTTTCAGGTTAAGAAAAGCTTTTAGGAATAAATGAATTGAATCTAAAATGGCCCATTTGATGGCAGAAGATAATGAAGACAGCAGCCACTGTGTATATTCTACCACCGCCATTGTGGGAAGGACTGGCTCGCTGTTCACCAAATCTTCCCCTTTCCTTTCTGGATGATATTTCCAAGCCTCCCTTGCAGTCAGGAGGGCCACCTAAATGAGGTCTGAGCAATGAATGTGGAGAGATGTCATATGAGCCATTTCTAGGCCTGGTCTAATAAAAAACAAATGCATCCCTCGTCTTCCTTGCTCTCTCCCTTTGCTCAACTACCAGCCTGAGATGTAGAGACCCTGGAAGACTCCAAGGCCTCTGAGGATGGGGGAGACCCCAGCTAGATGGAACCTGGGCCTCTGAATGACTATGTGAAACAGAGCACTGCCATCTTTCCTTCCCCTGCATAATCCACAGTGGATTGTGATGTGAGGGAGAAATCAACATGTGACAGGTTAAGGCACTGACATTGAGAGGGTGTTCGTTACAGCAGTTAGCCTTCCCTAACTGATACAACTTTCTTCAGGAATGTGAAGGGAGAGTGAAACAGTACATTTCACAAGCAAATGAGGAGTTCTTGGGGCTCATCTCCCCAGACTTCTACTTTCCTATGGATCTGCCCTGTTCTCTCGCTTCTTAAAAAGTAGGTGGGGAAAGAGAACAAGATCATTTTTATCGGGGAGGAGGAGATATGAGCATTTACATAGAGACAGATCAGAGTTGAAACAGCAGAAGGAAAATGGAGCAGAACATCTTGGAACAGTTTATTCTTGGGAGAAAATGCAGTAAAGCATTTCATAGGATACAAAGAGATGTGGTTAGATAATGGATCAGTACTAAAGTCACCTGGATTAGAGGCATTAATTAAAAATGCACTGATGCACTGTGATTTAAAAAATAATATGGGAGGTGTCACAAAACAATGAGAAAAGGGACTATACATATACACACACACACATACACTTTCACATATATATACATAAACATTTGGAACAATAAAACAAAACAATTTACACATTTCATGCTATATATCAACATATACTCCAGATGGATTAGAGAATTAAGGGTTTAGAGGCAGCTCTGATAGCCTAGCAGTTAAAGTTCAGCACGCTCTGCTTCAGTGGCCCTGGTTTGGTTCCTGGGCCTGGAACCACACCTCTTGTCTGTCAGTAGCCATGCTGTGGTGGTGGCTCACATAGAAGAACTAGAAGGACTTACAACTACAATATACAACTATGTACTGGGGCTTTGGGGAAGAAAAAAAAAAAAAAGAATTAAGGGTTTAAACAATGAAATACTACGGAAAAGTGTTATAGATGACTGATACTTAAGTAAAGATTAATTTGGTGAAAGAATTCAGAAAAAGTGATAGTGATAGACTTAATTATGTAAAACAAAAAATTAAAACTTCAGATGTCCAAAGGGGGGAAAAACGCAGGGGATAATATCAGTGGCAAACAATATGGACAAAGGGTTGATGTCTTTATTATATGAAGAGTTCATAAGAATCAGTTTAAAAGACACTAGCATGCATAAATAATCAGTGACATAAATGACAATTTGATGGGGAAATTCAGTTAATTAATAGAAAAACTGAAAAATAATGGTGAGAAAGAAATGCAAATGAAAATAATAAATACAATTTTGTTTTTTAAATTAGCAAAAGTGCAAACCCAGCGATTTGCTATACTGATGAGATAAAGTGACAAGGACAGTACAGTGAAATGCTGCATTTTCAGTAATATTTGACAAGCATGCAATATGATGATAGGCAAAAATTAAAGAGAATTAATTTTAAAAGTAAATGCAATAAATAGTGTTTTAAAAATAATACTTTACCTGTCATTCCTGGGTCTTTGGGTCCACTTTTTAATGTTGAATGCCAAGTTCCCCAGATATTGAAAGGCTCCTCTGACATATCTAGGAACAAGTGTATAAAAAAGGTAGGTAACTCACAATGAACATTTAAGGGCAAAAATCAATAAAGAAATATTTTATAATATTTCTTCTATGCAAAGTACTGTATTTGAGATTATGGTGAATACAAGACAGAATATAATGCAGAGCTGCCGCTCAGGAGACTTATTCCATTTGGAATTTACGAAAAGGCTCTTTCTATATCTGGTTGTGGTAGACAGAATAAGGGCTCTCCAAAGATGTCTATGTCCTAATCCCCAGAACTGTAAAGATGTTATATTCAAAAGGTACTTTGCAGGGGTGATTAAGTTATTGATTTTGTGATCAGGAGACTGAGTGGGCCTGATGTAACCATAAGGATTCTTTTTTGTTTTTTGAGGAAGATTAGCCCTGAGCTAACATCCACTGCCAAACCTCCTCTTTTTGCTGAGGAAGACTGGCCCTGAGCTACCATCCGTGCCCATCTTCCACTACTTTATATGTGGGACGCCTACCACAGCATGGCTTGCCAAGCAGTGCCATGTCCACACCCGGGATCTGAACCGCCGAACCCCGGGCCGCCAAAGTGGAACGTGTGAACTTAACCGCTGAGCCAGTGGCCAGCCCCACCATAAGGATCCTTACAAGAGAGAGGCAGGGGAGAAGATGCTACGTTGCTAGCTTTGAAGATGGGTGAAGGGGGCGTAAGCCAAAGAATGTAGGCAGCCTCTAGAAGCTGGAAAAGGCAAGGAAACAGATTGTTTCCTAGAGTCTCCAGGAGGGAACGCAGTCCTGTGGACCCTTTTTAGACTTCTGACATCAAGAAGTATAAGCTAATAAATTTGTGTGTTGTTTTAAACCACTGAGTTTGTTACAGCAACAATAGGAAACGAATACAATGGTGATGAGTAACAACAGCCTTCTAGGCTCCAAGCACATTAACATAGAGAGTGAGGAGCACTAGCTATAGTTTCTAAACTATCCTCAGGAATACTCGGCTATTGGCATCAACAGACTCATTCCTGCATGTATCCATTCATATATGCCCTTAGTCTATCTGTAAATATTTACAGAGTAAGGCACTATATTAGGCATTTTCACCATCTCATTTACTCCTCACTACAATCCTGTGATGTGATTATAATGACTACTTCTAGAAGCAAATGTCTACTGGGTGCTTCCCTGTGCTCAGCAGTTCTTATGCATTCTCCCATTTAATTCCAAGGAGATGCACTTGAGTCCATACAGATGTGGCAGGTAGTGAAAGGAGTAGGTGAGAAATGCACACAGCGTTACATAGCAACTATTATCGAGCACTTAATACGTGCCAAGTTTTCTATTAAGGACTTTACATGGATTAGCTAATTAAACCCTATGAATTAATACTGCTATATTCCTTGGTTTTCACGGGAGGAGGAAATGGGGCTCTGAAAAGTTCAATCACTTGCTTAATATCCTGCAGGTTGAAAGTGGCAGAGCAGTGTACGGGGACTCTAAATCTAGTGTTGTTGTCATTGGCTATTAACACTGCTTGCTTCTAGTTCCTTCAGGGTTATTTCCAAGGAGAGAGCCACAGGTTAGACAGGGTTGGTCAACCTCAGTACTACTGACATTTGCGGCTGGATCATCCTTTGTGGTGGGGCGTGCTGTGCACTGTGGGATGTTGCACAGCATCCCCAGTCCCTCCCACTAGATGCCAGTAGCACCCCTCCCAAGTTGTGACAAGCAAAAATGCCTCCAGACATTGTCACATGTCCACTGCGGGGGGGAGGGGGTGCAAAATTAAGAGCCACAGTGTCAGAGTTTGCCAAGATGCTGAAGAGATGGAAAGAGCTAACGTTTGCCTTAGTCTATCTGCTAATAAATTAGAGCTAATATGTATCTTAACCCACCTGTGAAAAAACTGTGAAGCAAAGACACTGACCCTGGGAGAAAAGAATTAAGCTTTCCTGGTGTGAACTTTTCCAAAAATATCTCTTTGAATCTGTATTTAGAAACCCACTATGCCACACCTTTCAGAATAGCAAAATTCTCTTCAGATTGCTTTTGTTGTTGCTGCAGAGAATATTAAATATAGAAAATGTGTCACTAATTTAAAGAGCAAAAATTATAGATCATTTATATATATCAGAAAGAGAATAGTTAAAGATCCATGATACATCAGTTTAATGGGACTATATCCTGGCCGCGAAAAATGTTAGCAAAATGGAAAATGCTTAAGGATATGATTTTAAGTAAAATAAGCTTAGCTCAAAAGCAGCTATATTATGAAAACAAATACATAAAATTATGTATGGACAAGGACTAGGAAAAATAAAGTTTCACATTTAACAAATAAATTTTGTGCCTGGTGGGAGCATGGATTACTGTTTTCATTGTAAATTTTTAAAATTATTTTTTGACATGGATATTTGTAAAATAAAAATAAACACGTCGTGATTTAAAAACACCAAAAAAAAAAAAGAGCCTTTTAACAGTGGTTCTTGGGTTTAAATTATAAATTTAAGATAAAATAGCAAGAATTTTTACTATGTCTTCCAATTATTACTTAGTGTCTCGCTGAGTCCTTGCCCTGAGGAATTACTCCGTGGAGGGAAAGAACAGAACCAAACATTCGGTGGTCAAATAGATTTGGTAAAAACTGCAAATCACACCCTCCCTCCCATTGTGGAAATTCATGGTGCCCATTAGCACTTTAAAGAGTTTGAGAAATTGTACAGTAGAGAAACCATTAGCTTGGTTAACCCAGCATTTCCCGGATGTATTTGACCATGAAGCCCTTATTTTGCCTAAAAATCTTAATCTCCCATGGAGACCTCTTTGGAACACGGTATCTCATTATATAGTAGGTTCAGCTTATTCTTTTTATGAAAGTAACAGCAACAATTGGGTGACTAGCAAATATACACCCAAATTCACTGGCCAGGATACACAAAGTTCTTCAGGTGCTGGAGGGAAAAGAGTCACCTGGGAATACCAGTGGCTTTCTGAGCATGAAACTGCTCCCCAGATATCTGAGTCTGCAGGGACCCTCCAAGCTGACAACTAGGCTCATCACACCTTCCTCTTCCTAGAGTAGGTCTACAGCAGGTACTCAGTAAATGCTCAATGAATTACAGAGATGTAAAACAAGGAAGGCATGGAGAGAAGGTCCAAAGTGCCCACTCCATGCCACATGCAATCAGAGTCACTGATTTGGCCAGCACTGGTCAGGCTCGTTACCTTTCCCAAGCCTTGGTCCAGGAGAACTCTCCCTTGACTTTGACGATGGCAAGTGGCCCACCAGCACATACTGTTCTGGCCCTTTGTAAACCTTCTCTGAGCCCCCCGAGGCCGCGTCCTCTTGCATAGCCAGCAGGGAGCGCTCAGATAGCACTGGGGAGTTGTTGTCATAAGGGGAGAGGTCTCCGCTGGAGGCCTTGTTGGAGTCTGTGGATGAGTGCCTTCCTCCCATGGAAAAGGAAACTTCCGACCGCAGCATGTCAGGGCTTCTGGCACAAGGAGACAATTACAGGTGCGTGAGTATGTTAACAATAGCGATCAGATTCAAACAATACAACCGTTACACAAATGACAGGAGGAGAATGCAAGGACACAGAGGCTGAAACAAAAAGACCTTTTGAGCAACGTTCCAAGACTTCTACATCAATAAGGTGAAAGCTTTTCCAGGAAATGGCCAGCAGAGGGCAGTAAAACCCAACAGATGTTACAGGCAATGTCACGGCGAAGGCGGGGAGGGTGGATGAAACAAGAGATGGATCCCTGTATTTTCCAAAGTGCATCGCTGAAATGCCTGTTGGTTTAATCCCTGTTCCCATCTTAAAATTGAAGTCTGATGCTCACTATCTGTTAAGTAAGGAAAAACTGGTAGATAACTCTTTTACTTTCCTTAATATCTTGAATTAAAAATAATTCAGATAAAAACTGATTGCAACTTTACATGAAGTTCATTACGACTTTATGGACAACTTTTCTCCTCCCACCCAAATACGCAGTGTAAGTGAACCCATCCTTCCTGTGACGACGAAGACGATGATGTTAATGATGCTGCTACTGGTGGGAATAATTGTTTCATGTATAAAATGGCTGAAAAGATAAATATATGACCACCACTAGAGTCCATTGTATTTAAATATACCCAAGATGATTCTACAAGGCACTAGTGCTTTTACAAGTTGATATAAGACATGCTAATTAGCATATCCATTACGTTTTACATGTGTATGAGTTGTCACAGCAACAGAGATAACAGTGAAAACGTGAGTGGAACAGGAAAACGAGACCATTAGGAACATGAAGAGAGTGTTCGAAGTCTTACCTGGGAACATCTGTATTTTCTACCTTCCTCAAAACAGTGGCCCTGACAACATCTTAAAGGGAAATGATCATAGGTTGATTAAAAGTTCCAGAACCTGCTTCTGTTTTCCCCCCTACTTCACTTCTCTTTGCTTTCTTTTGGTTTAATTTTTCAAAACAAATCCTCTGTTACCTTAAAGAAGGTAAACACATGCCTGAGCGATCCTTTCCTAACCAAATGGAACACAGAGGAATGCAACACAGAGGAAGTGCACTCAGAGGGGCTCGAGCTTCATCTGTGGTTTCCAGCAGGGGTCAGTGTCCATGGGGAAGCAACTCAGCATCTGTGACATGCCTCGTCTGTCACTCAGGCAGCCAAGGGCTCGAGCACTTTTTGCTGAGGGAATTTCTTACACACATGGAATAAATAAGTCCTTTCCTTGCCTCCTCTTTAAACAGATGACAGATAATCTTATGGGAAAAGAGTCAGAGGACAACCACGAGGATGATTTTCCAGAAACATTAGGCTTCCAACGAATGAAGGAAAAATAAAAGGAACTTACGACGTCTGCTGGAAAGTGGAGAAAAAACTATTCAATCTACATATCTAATTAAAGGGGAAAAAGTCCCCCTAATTCTAGTGGAGGGAACACAAAATAAAACAAACGGACAGACATCTGTCTTCATGGGTTCGACTCTAGTTGAGGAAACTTTACTATGAAAATGAGAAAAATTGAATGTGTTGAACTGGTAGCTGCACAGAGCTCAGCTCAGAATCAGGGTTCTATGTTGTGACGACTGCTAGAAAATATATTACCGGGCTAATTTCAATTGTTTTCTCTGTTTAGTTGACATTTTTTCCACTCATTAATGAAAATGTGTTATGTTTACTCAGCAAGAGTAAGTTATGGTGTTATATCAATAATAGTGGGTATATAAAGCCTTATTTTATGGACGTTTTAAAGAAAGTCAAGAAAGTTCATTAGCCAAAACAAAATACCTATCAAGGCTACGAATGCTTTTCTGCCCCCTCTCATTGGGAGGAAAGTTTTGGAAAGGTCATATTTTAGCTTATGGAGACCCCAATAGTTCTGTCTCATGTCTTGCTCATCTGTCTTACAAAACATATAGAAGAGAATACATTCGACAAAATATTATAAGATTCAGCCAAGAGTTATGTGCACAAAGAAAGATACCCTATGGAAGAAATTTCTCTTAAGTCTCAGTACCAGGGAAATTTGGGTTTCTAGCAAGCAAGGGTATTTTTACCTTACGGAACCATGCATCATGTAATAAATAATGTATCTGTCTTTGCAATTCCTTGGCTCCAAGGAATTGGGGCTCCCCTCGAGTTGGTGTATTGAGCCTTGTGGCATGCCTTTCTGTGTTTCACACCCCAACTGTACCTCATCCTATTACTCTTTCCATTGTTTCTCTTTCCCTAGTCTCTCAAATTACTTACTACAATATCATTCCACTTTACATATTTTTGCAAGCTGCTTCAATAAATAGTTTTTAGACTGATATACAGATGGGGAAATCACACCCACATTAATTGTTGGGGTTATTGAAAAGGCAGTGTGCTTCATGAGAATATGTAGTTTGGTTAAAACAAAACAAAGTAAAACAAAGAACAATAATAACAATAACATGTATAACCGAAGCTGCCACATGATTTTTTCCTCCATTTTCCTGGCTGTGATCTGATGAAGTAGAGGTGAGACAGGAGGAGGTGGAGGGCCGTTGTTCCTTTCTTCTGTTCTTGGGGCTGACTCTGCAAAGTCTCACACAGTGGTACTGACACAGCACCATCCACATCACCTGGGAACTTGTTGGAAATGCAAATTCTTAAGCTCCATTCTGGACCTACTGATGAGACTGGCTATAATATGCGGAGCTCAGTGCAGAATGAACAGCGGGGCCCTAAGTTAGAAAATTATTAAGAATTTCAAGATGGTGACAGCAGATTATTAAGCCAAACACTGGCTTCTTCTGTGTGGGGTCCTGTGCAACTGTACAAGTTGCAGCCAATGAAGCTGGCTTTGCCTACTAAAAGGAAATCTCGGAAGTGGGGCTAACAAACTGTGTTGTAAAAAGCCCCCCAGGTAATTCTGATGCATGGGGAATTTTGAGACCCTCTCATACCAACCCTACTCTCCCTCCCTCAATCCATAGATGTGACAGTGGGCTAAGGATCTACTGATTCAAATCAGGAGGGAAACCACAGAAAGTGGCCAAAAGCTCAGCACTAGCTGGCAGTGGGGACAAATGTGTTGGCCTTGACTTTGAGGTGGCTGGGCCCCGAGCTGAGTAAAGGAGGAGAGTATGCCCATCCCAGCCAGCTCCAGTCAGTAGGATACAGATAACTGAATGTAGTCTGGTTATGGATCAGAACATGTTAAGGTGAGAGAGGGGCAGGAGAGGCCAACCTGTCTTTCTCTGCTCTTCTGGTTCATTCTCATAAGCCAAGCCACCAAAGTGACCACAGCTGGGGGCCCAATTAGGGGAGAACCTGGAGGAGGCGGCCAAAGCTAATCCCTGGAGGTAGAAGTGGATGAGATGTCTCACAGTTGACACGGGCCATGAACCTCCTCATGGTGGCTGGAGTCACAGCCAGGGACACGAGCCGATGGGGCTGTGCAATGAGAGGTGATGCCTTCTTTTCCCAGCCACCCAGCATGTCTCGGCAATGGAAGAGGATACAGCTTGAGTAGACATGGCAAGCAGCTTGTGAAACACATTTATGTGAAATCACTCCTTGGCTTGTGAGAAGAGTAAAAGTTGATGTTTATACAGAGATCATTATGTGGCAGGCACTGTGCTAAGCTACTGCTAACAACTCTCCTTGTTCCTGATCATCACAGTCTAGACATGACTGAAAGAAATGAGATGGCTAAATAACACGTCTTTCTAGCAGTAGAGGCAGTAGAGGTTGAGACCCTTCACAAATTTATTTGATAAATAGTATTCAATATTATTGAAAATCAATAGTAAAAGGGTATATCTTATATTTAGAGTTGTTGGCCTTTTTAAAGGTTTGAAGTATTTCCTATCTATCATTTTATTTTCTCAGCAGAGGTCAGTAGGGTCGTGGCCAAATTTGCCTAAGAACCCATGTCCAAGAATTGTCTTTCCATAAGAGACAACCAACTAATAAACAAAACAAAATTATTTTATTCATGCCTCAGGACTCTCACTACAACATAGGCAGTTCAGAGTTTTAAAAAATTTAGTGTCATTCCATTGCTTTATCATTAAATCTATTGGAAACAAATCCAGAACCCTTCTTTTGGGTATCTCTGAAAAATGAGCCAAGCAGCCACCAATGTCATCTCTGATTTGTCTCTGAGATGATCTAACTCTATAAAGACAATTTTAAGTTCAGTGTTCCAAGTAAAGGCAATAAAATATTCATGTATTTATGTATATAAAATATTTACTCTAGCCAGTGATTTCCTAGATGAGAAAGAGTTTAAAAGCACATAGGGCCCTCTCTCTCTCTGTCTTGGAATTTAATGGACTGAGGTTAGGATTGTTGAGTGGATAGGTTGCCAGTTGACATGGGTTTGCCTCCATGAATGGAGAGGTTCCCCATTAGACCTGAAAACCCTAGGACCATCCACAGCATGCATGGCCAGTCTCAGCTAACCAAATAAGCATGAGATGGACATGGAGAGCGAATCACTTTCTCACCCTTAGCTGGTCCCTCCAGGTCAGGGTGTAAACACGCTGGCAGGGTACTGTGGGCAGGCCTGTACTGCAGCCGGAAGCACAGAACTTGTTCTGCGGATAAATGGAAAACTCCGGTTCAATCACCGGATGTGGCCAGCCCAGACACTCGGTGAGCTACTCCAGTGAAAAACATCCTTGGAGATTTCAAACTTGCGTTGGCTTCATCCTTGGCTCAATCCTTCAACTGATAAAGCTCAGTCTGTTGGAACTCAAAGCACATAACCATCTTGAATGATATTAATTCTACTGGCAAAGGAATCCACTGCCACAGCAGTTCTGTATTTATGGAGGATTTTCACATTAATCACGCTCAGTTCTGCAAAGCATCCCTTACACAGAATCCTAGGAACAAAGGCACCTCACGCCAAACAGACGCTGACATGGATCCAAACTCCCCACCAGATGAATCCAGCACCCTGGACATTAGAACTTGTCCAGGGCTTTTGTGAAATTTCACTCATTT